CCCTATTTTCGAGCTTAGCTGTAAGACCTCGTTATTTCGAGGTCGGTTTATAAGATTCCAACTCTTTGAGTCAAATATGTTAAGAGTGGCTGCATTGGCTATGCGTACAGTTTTTTACGGAACGAAGTACCATAGTCTTGTCTCATGGAATAGCAATTTTGGTGGATTTACAAATCATGGTCTCGCAAGAAGGGTGATCGAATTATACAAAAAGATGAGGAGTGGGCTTCTGTTACATTCTTGGACTTCTAATGGTTTGCAATCACACAGGACTTGCGAATGAGGGCAAAATTTTATTTAATTTCATGTCTCAATTTTACGAGATCACTCCTAAAATGCCTCATTGATTCTAGGAGAGTGAAATATGCCTTAAAGTACATGTATAGAAAACACATTCCGGCGAAATAGTTTACGATCAATCAAGGAGATTTGGTTATGTGCAAATAGGACCGTGTCAGATCCAACTTGGTTTGCAAACTTAGGTACTAGTAATCATGTTACAGCTGATAAGGAAAATCTAATTGAAGCACATGAGTATGATGGTAAGGGAACTCTTGATATTGGTAATGGTAACAAACTCTGCATCTCTCACATTGGTACAAATCACCTCAACACACAAAACAACAAATCACTAGTTCTCAGTAATGTGCTGCTAGTTCCTTCAATCAAGAAAATTATGTTAAAAGTGTTTTACAATTAACATCTGACAATGGTGTATTTATGAAATTTCATTCTAATTTTTGTGTTGTTAAAGACAAAGAGACGAAGGAGGTGCTGCTGGAATGGAGAATTAAGTATGGCCTGTATCAGATTGAACTCCCAGATTAAGATGACAAGCTTTTTTTCTCAAAGTCAGTTCACTCAAATATGTCTAACTCTTCAGCTTTTGTCGTTCAATCCAATAGTGCTACAAAGTATAAGTCTGATTTGAAACTACAGCACATGAGGCTTGGACATCCTTTTGGTTATGTGATGTCTCAAGCGAAAATCTGTAATGAAAAATTTGATATGAATGAAGTTAATCCTTTTTATGATGTCTGTCAACTTCGCAAAGCACATTCCCTGCCTTTTAAACTTTCTACTTCACATTCATTAACCTCCCTTAACTTGATTCACACGAATGATTGGGGTCCAGCACCCTTACAATCTACCTCTAGCTTTAAGTATTACATTCTATTTGTAGATGATTATAGAAGGTATACTTGGATATATTCTGTTAGAGCCACGTCAGAAGCCTTGAACTCTTTTATTCAATTCAAGAATCTAGTTGAAAACAAGTTTAACAGGAAAATTAAGACACTTCAATCTGATTGGGGAGGAGAGTTCAGAGCATTTACTGAATTAACTCAACAATCAGGCATTGACATGCGTTTTTCTTGTCCTTACACCCCTCCTAAAATGGTAAAGTTGAAAGAAAAAATCGACACATTACAGAAACTGGGCTTACTCTTCTTGCTCAAGCAAGCATGCCTTCACGCTATTGGTGGGAGTTATTTCACTCAGCCACTTACCTTATTAAGAAATTACCTACACCAATTATCCAAATGAAGTCACCTTGTCAAGTTCTGAATGATGAGCAAATCAACTACAAGTCGCTTCACGTTTTTTTGGATGTGCTTGTTTCCCTGTCTAAGACATTATCAGCCTCATAAGTTCAGCTTTCACTCCACAAAATGTGTATTCCTTGGCTTCAACAATTCACATAAGGGCTACAAGTATCTTAGTTCAACTGGTAAAGTTTACCCATCCAGGCATGTTGTCTTCAATGAAAAGGAATTTCCATTTCAATCAGATTTTCTTAATAAAAGCAGTCACTCGCTTGAAGCAGTTGAAATTGAGACACCAGAAGCAAATGAGAATGAAAGTTCAGAAACTAGATATGGATATATTGAAAGGGAAACTCAAGAAGGCACTACAAGCATTGAAGCAGAACAAACTGAGTTAACTTTTGAAGCAAATCAAGAAGAGACAGAATTGAGAAGACGGAATGTTAAGCACCCCATGATCACCAGAAGCAAAGTTGGTATTTTCAAAGCAAAAGTGTCCAACACCATTTGCAAAGAATACAAAATGGAACCAAGCAAGAGTGAACCAAATGATGTTCTTGAAACGTTGTCTAACAAGAACTGGAAAAGAGCTATGGAGGATGAGTACAAAGCCTTGATAAAGAACAAGATTTGGAAATTAGTACCACCTTTGGTCAATCAGAAGGTGATAGGAAACAAATAGGTATTCAAACTTAAACGTGACATTGAAGGAAAAGAATTGAAGTATAAAGCAATGCTTGTTGCAAAGGGGTTCCTACAAACCTCAGGTGTTGACTACCATGAAACATTTAGTCTAGTAATTAAGGCCTCTACTCTAAGAATAATCTCGCCATTTAACGTCTCTAAGGGTTGGGAGTGTTAGACAAGTTGATATTAACAATGCTTTCAGGAATGGAAAGATAAATGAAGTCGTTTTTATGAGGCAGCCAAAAGGCTTTATTGACAAAGTCAACCCATCCTTCGTTTGTAGACTTAAAAAGGCTTTCTATGGATTCAAACAAGCCTCTAGAGCATGGTATGACAACCTTAAATGAACTCTCTTAGACTGAAAATTTACCAAGTCCAAAGCAGATAACTCCTTATTCTTTTATATGAATCAGAGGCAAGTAATTTTTTGTTTGGTGTATGTTGATGATATAGTAATCACTGGAAATGATCACAAAGTGCTGCAATGCTTCGTTGACAAACTCAACACATAGTTTGCACTAAAGGATATGGATAAATCACATCAGTTCTTAGGAGTTGAAGTAAGGAGGTATGAATCAGGAATGAGTCTCACCCAGGTTATGTACATTAAGGACTTGCTGAAAAGATTTAACTTTGAGCACGTTAAACCTTGTACAACACCTATGACAGTGGGTAAGTGCATCTCCAAAAATGAAGGAGAGAAAATAGCAAACCCCTTCTTATACAGAAGTTCAACAGGTGGACTCCAATACCATGGGCATACTCGACCTGATATAAGTTTTGCAGTAAATAAGTTAAGTCAATTTCTACAAACTCCTTCAGATATTCTCTGGAAGGCTGTAAAGAGGGTCTTCAGATATCTAAAAGGCACAATTGAACAAAGGCTATGGATCCAAAGGAGTGACAAATTGAACATCACGGGGTTTGCTAATGCTGATTGAGCATCTTGTCCTGATGACAGAAGATCAACAGCCAGCTACTGCGTCTATCTAGGAGATACCTTGGTGACTTGGTCTTCAAAGGAAACAACAGGTGGTATTAAGATCAAGTGCTGAATCAGAGTATAAAGCACTGGCAAAAGCCTCTACTGAGATAACTTGGGTTGAGTCATTGCACAAAGAAATCAAATTGCAACCTGCTTCATCTCCCATTCTATGGTGCGATAATCTAAGTGCTAGTGCATTAGCCTCTAATCCAGTTTATCATGCTCGAACTGAACATATTGAACTAACCTTTATTAGAGATAAAGTTCTTGAAGGCAAGTTGAAGATACAATACATACCTTCATCTGATCCAACCGCAAATTTGTTAACGTAGCCACTTGCTCATTCTAGGTTTTTGTTTCTTAAAGACAAGCTTGGAGTTAATGAATAAGCTACAACTTGAGGGAGGACGTTAACGTGCATACAAAAGGTTATACAATTAGCTTATCAATACTCTCCAATGCAGCCGTGTGTACTGGAATATTCATGCCTTAGGTTGTGAGCTAATTGTGCACTTACGGGACCGCAAAGATTGTTGTAACTATATTGATTCTTCACGTGATGTTGTTTCTCCTTTGCTTGCTCACTGCTCCAGCATCTTGTATGTATTGCTGTCGTTGTAACTCTGTAAAGTATCAAGAATTAAAGCTTATCTTCTTCTTCTACCATCAAGCTCTCAATTCAGTTTTCTCTGAAATTTTAACTCAATATTCACCCCAAGGAGGTTAGGGGGGATGGAGAAGCCATACATGGGTTTTCTCAGGCAAGCTTTTTAACAAAGGATAAGACTAGTGCATCTACTTCACTCTAGCTCGATGCTGGCAGTAGCAGACAATCCTATATGAAACCCTTACTTTCCTTTGGTAAGCCACAACAAGAAGGGAAATTCAATTTTCTTCTATTTCTTATAATCCCCTCTGATTGCCATAAATTCCATTTGCAAGCAACACTGATGCGCACTGAAAAAGGATAAATAAAAGAAAAGGAGAAAGATACATACTTCTTCATTTCCCTCCAATCTGTATCTAGCCACGTCCAGTTTTTCTCCATTTCTTCGTAGGCTTAGTAATTAACTCAGCAAATGATTTTGTCCTCGATTACAAACGAATATCCCAAGCTCTTTTCTGATGCATTATAAGCACTTTAATATCGGTATGTTTCCCTACATTACCCAAAATGACCCAAACAGAAGGCACCACATCGCCAAACCCCATCTAGCTATTGGTTATCGTGTCACTTTCTCATGGGTCCACCTCCTCCCTATTTTCCCTAGCCACATGTGACTTCTCCACTTTCAACCCCCCCAATCACTCCTATCCATTCCTTGCAATCTCTTTGCCCACCACAGCAGCAGATATCTCTACATTCCCTAGTCATATCCACTTGTTCCTACCTTTCCACACCACCATTGACATCAGTACCTCAACATCAACCACCACCATCCCCACATCAAGAAAAGCCTCAATCAACCAACTGTGAAGGTAAGGAGATGTCTACAGAAGAAATTTAAAAATGAAAAAACACAGACAGACAGAGAAATGGACATCTTGATTTCAAAAAATAGGAACTTTATGGTTTCTTAAACAGACTTTTTGCAAATAATTAATATCTTTAACAGGTGAGAAACAGCTCATAGAGCAATTTTTGGAGGAAAAGACAAATTATCCCCTTGCTTATCTGAATCTAGCACTAATTGGCAAGATCAATTCTGTATGATACCTGATCATGGACCTGGCACTGTGCTATTCGCATTTAAATCCTTCTGACAACCAGATGAAGAATCCTATCGCTCTACTTCTTGACCAGGACCGAAGTACGCTAATACGTTTAACAGAATATATCCAATATGTTCTGCATTCCCCATTAAAGACGAGACACCATATCTTGTCAGTAATAAATAAACAAAAACAACTAAATAGTGAAGTTAATGAGGAAAAGACTTACATTATTATTGTAAGATTTCTAATTGAGAGTTTATTATTTACAGTAGAACAAACCAAATTACATTCATCCACCAAATTAACAAGAAGCCAGTACAAAATGTTCCAATTAAAGAGAAAATCTAAAGCAGAAGCTTCATTAATACCATAGAAAATCAATCAAATTAAGGATCATAATTACCACCACCACCAGAAGAGGTACTCGGGGAACCTTCCGTTAGACCAGTCTCTGGCACCCTCTTTTTCCTCTCCTCCTCGTACTCGGGATCATCTGTAGGCAACTCAAACCTGCAAATGGGACACGAATTCCGTGAAACCAACCATGGCATAATGCAGTCCCCATGGTACTCGTGTCCACAGGGCAACTTCTTTACCATATCCCCTACATTCAGTGAACCTTTACATATAGCACATGCGAGTGAGGCTCCTTCCTTCCCAATCACCCTATTCTCCAACCCCTCCACTGCCTCTTTCGAAGCTGGTGGCGCCCCACGCCTCCCTTCATTATCATTTTCGACTAAATTCTGCAACAAAGCTTCGAACCCTGCAGCATCCACGTAATCCCCCGGGTTTCCGATAAAAGTATCGGATTCCGGGACTTGGAATCGCAGTTCAACCGAATGATCTTCGATTCCCATTAAAATTTCCGCCCAGTCAAGAACCCTGTAACGCCTTGTCGCGCCTCGAGCGGCGAAGTCTCTGAGACGAAGCTGGAGAAAATCTCGGTGCCTTCTTCGCCTGTCATCCTCCTCTTCACCATCGTCATGAGCCTCAATCACTTCATTCTCCTGATCATTATCAGATAGATCTTGATTCTCGATATCTGGCTCAATATTCACATATCCATCTTCATTCCGTACTTCAACGGAATGCTCGCCTTCGTCGTCGTCGCCATCTTCGCCATCTGCGGCGTTCCATCCGCCGATCTCGATGCGTAAATAGTCATCGTCAGTTGGATCGACATGCTCGGATGGAGGAAGAGGGGGAGCATCCTCCTCATGAGAGTCACGAACGATACGACGAATGTCTTGTCGAAACCGATCGAAGAAGAGTTCGGCGGAGCGGAAACTCTGCACTGGAGGAGAATTCGTGGCTACGGAGGAGATGGACTCAACAAAGCCATTATTACACTCCTTACAGATGACATCAGGAAGATCCTCTATGGTTTCAATCAAGACCCGCTTTTCACAGTGATGGCACCAGTGTTGTGAGGAGTTGGGGTCCAGCTCGTTTGCTGCTGGATTCGGGTTCTGGTTTCGGGTCGGGGATTGAGTTGATGGAATTTCCGCCATGGATAAGCTTTCTTGGTAATTTCTCTCTTCCTTCAAATAAGATAACGACCCGTGCGAGGCGGAGGAGAAGGCTTTAAAACTGGGAAATTTCACTGGAGGTAACCCAAGCTTATTTTTTATTGGTCATTAAACTTTGATACATTTCGATTTTAACTACTTGATTATACTTTTGTTACAAATTAACCAATTCTCCCTCAATTATTGCAAAAAATTAACATAATTCGTAACTTGATCCACATAATTCTTGACCCAATTCAATTTTCGGCAATACTATTTTTTGTTCTTTTTGGCGATACTATAAAATCGTTCTGTCGTTCGCGTCACAAATTCTGCAGTTTTGGTGACGCGTTGACACATTTGAAATACTAATTGAATGATCAAATTGGGATAAAATCACAAGTTAGATTAGATTATCAAATTAAAATAAATTAAAGTTGCATGACCAATATACATATATAGTAAGTTGGGTGACCTTTAATGAAACATTCTCTTCATGATAAGATAATTAATGTTGTTGGAAAATTAGGACCACTGTGTCGAGAACAGGGGGTCTACTAGTTTCAGGTGTGGAATCGCTATTTATGTATATAATCCGAATTTAAAGTCGCTATCAATGTCGAAAATTATTCGATAAGGATAAGGAATTTTCAGCCAATATTTTAAGATGAAAAATATCTGTTAATTATTTTAGTTGAAAATACCTACCACTTTCAATTATTGACGAAATATTATTTAACAATTGCACCACATTTTTAATTGCATCTTTAACCGTGATTATGCTGTGTCCTCAACTTTTTCAATGAATTTTTATTCGTAACATGTCTTGTCCTTAATGATATTTTCTGTTCAAAATTACGTTAGAGAGAGTAAAAATCTAATTTCCTCCAATAAAACATGACGATTATGTTTGTCCCTCACTTTAAAGGCCGTTAACGTAATTTTTGGAAGAAACCCGTCATTAAGGATTTGACGTGCTAATTAATGAAAAATTAAAAATAAGAATAAATGTGAAAAAGTTAAAGATATAAATTTAAAAATGAATTAAGGTTTGTGACTTTAAATACAAGTATGTATATATATATAGCTTCAATATAACCACCATTCCTAATTTTCCTAAAAATGTTCACTTCCCGCTCAATTATCCACCTTTTCATTTTTTTCTTCTGTCTCACACCAGTCACCTTCATCTCTCCAATTTGCTTTATATCTTTATCAAACCATCAAAATCTCTATCAAAATCAATGTCGATTGTCATCGTGAAAAACCATCAGTCGTCACTATGAAGAAAAAGTGTTCGTGTATCTCAAGTTGTTGTTCAATGTTCTTCATCTAATTTATGGTTTAATTTCATCCATCGCCACTGAACTTTCTACTTAGGGACACCTTGACCATTGAACTTTTCACTTATTCTCACCATGGCTATTGAATTTTAATTTGTTTAATTGTGGCCGCCAAATTTATAAGGTAAATAGCACTACGTCGGTAACCTTTGAATATTTCATGAGTCCTAAAAATTTCAAATGTTTACGTTTGAGGTCCTTATTAACGGAAAATGTCAAACTTTAAGTAAAATGATCATTGTACCCCGGCGTGCTTTATACTTTTCACATCTCAAAACAATATTACTAAATATCGAATAACATTTTCAGACATTTGCATCGATCATACATGGTTTTGCAAGGGTTTTTAGTCATAACAACGTGAATGTTGTTATCGTAGTACTAAATCGCCAATGGGGTCGTGTTTTGTACTTTACATGTCCAAAACAATATTACTATGGCTAAATAATGCCTGTAGGTGTTTGAATTGTTCATATAGGCTTTTGTAAGTGTTTTGAGCCATAACGATATGAATCGTGGTACTGAAATTATAATAGATTCGTTATGATCATTACTTGTATGTTTTGGATTTCATGATTCAAAGCAACATTAATAAGGCTAAAAATATAATTTTTAACGAAGATACATTGATTTAGTTTGATAGAAAAAGGTTACAATAATGAACATATTTCAATAAAATAAACAATATATATACCACTAGTAATGAATGAATAAAGATTGTTTCCTTGTCTTCCACCATCGTAAGGAAACCACTTTTCTAACTAATCAAAACAACATTACAAAGGCATGATAATATTTATAGATGTGTGCAATTCTCATATGAGCTTAGGATAGTGCTTTGATACCATGTAGATATGAACATCGTTATTGTTATACTAAAAAGACAATGGAGCAGATATTATCATCATATGCACAATTTGCACTTTTTTATGTGATGATACAACTTTATTGTTGTGATGTGATCCAATTTTCATGTGATTTGGTATTTGGTTGATTAGAGGAAGTTTAAGGTATTTAGGTTTGTAGAGTTCTAAGTTGTGAAGATCAAATTTCAATGATAATTAGGAGTTTGACTTGAAGGAGGACTCTTAGATGGCTAAATGCATGTTTTGAAATATCAAACTCGAAAGTTGGGCGCTGCACAGCAGTGCCAAGAAGAAAAAAAAGGCAACATCACTAGCTATGGCGCCGATAGGGGGTGCAGCGACGTCGGGTCCGCTGCTCGGGAAAATCAGCCGAGCGCCTCAGAACCCAGCTGGCGCCCCGTTAGCGTAATTTTACTTGGTTTCCTCGTTTCATTTGGACTTTGAGACTTCTTCTCCATCTTGGACTCCAATAAGATATTTTATATATATAAATATTGCCACATTATATCTCCATAATATAACATTCATATATTATTATTTACATCTTCAACAACATATTGAGAGATTGTGAGTTTGAATTTCAATTGAGATTATTGAAATCTTGATATTGTCAATACAAAACTATTAATTATAGAGGATTGTTCTCCTCTGCCCGTGGTTCTTTTTCCCGAATTGGGTTTCCATGTAATTCTTGTGTTCTTGTTTTCTTCTTCTTTATTTCATTATTATCATTATCTTGTGATCCGTTTCATAACAAGAAGTATAAGAGCAAGGGTTGATTGTTTCGCATTGCGACAATGAAGTATGACATTCCGTTGTTGGTAGAAACATGGGATTTATATTATGGCAAGTGAAGATGCGAGCGATGTTGACGTAGATAGATTTGGAGGAAGCCTTGCTTGGTTTTGATCGGATGTCTGCTACCTGGACGCTGGATGAAAAGTGGCGTAAGGATCGAAATGCCCAATTTCAAATTCATCTACATCTCTCGAATCAAATTCTCTAAGATATTCTTAAAGAGAATAGTGCCGCTGCATTGTTGTTGAAGTTGAAGCAACTTTGCATAAGAAAGAGCTTGATCAGCAAGTTATACCTTGTATTCTCACCGGATGTCTGAAGGTGTGTCATTGGATGATCACTTAACTATGTTCAAAAAAATTGTAGATGATTTGGAGAAATTGAAGGTTAAGTATGACAATGAGGACTTGGCTTTGATGTTGTTGTTTTCACTTCCACCATCATATGTGACTTTTAGAGATACTATTCTCTATAGTCGGGATACTCTCACCGTGGAAGAGGTCTATGATACTTTACTATCTAAGGAGAAGATGAGGCATTTTGTTGGAGGATCTGAAAATCATGCTGAAGGCTTGGTTGTGCGTAGGAGGAATCAAGATAGAAATCTTGACAGAATTTTGAGGGGCAGTTCGAAGTCTAGACATGCTGAGAAGACATATCACTACTGTAAGAAGAAGGGGCATATTAGAGCTGATTGCTACTCCTTGAAAAATAGAAATAAAGTTGCTAGTGCTACAGAGAAAGGAAAGCAACATGTTAATACAACGGAGGCTGATGTTGTAGAAGATGAGTAAAGTGGTGGAAAGCTTCTTGTGATTTCTGATGGGGATTCTAAAACTTGTAATAAATGGGTTCTTGACTCGACTTGTAGTTTTGATATGTGTCCTATCAGGAACTAGTTTTCTACATATGAAGGAGTTTCGAAAGGTGTTGTGATTATGGAAAATAACGCGCCTTACAAAATTGCCGGAGTTGGTAAGTCAGAATTAGAATATTAGATGAGGTTGTCAGAACACTTACAGATGTAAGAAATGTTCCAAAACTGAAGCGAATTCTTATATCTTTGAGTGCACTTGACTCAATGGTCTACAGATACATTGGTGAAGGTCGAGTTTTGAAGGTGAACAAGGGTGCTCTTATTACCATGAAAGGGTATAAAAACTCCATACAGCTGTACGTTTTGCACGGTTCCACAGTGATTGGGGATGCAACAGTTTTTACTTTTTCTTTAACAGATGATGAAGTCACAGAACTTTGGTATATGAGGCACGGGCATATGAGTGAAAATAGAATGGCAGAGTTGAGTATAAGGGGACTTCTTAATGGGCAGAAGACCAGCAAAATAGAGTTTTGTGAGCACTATGTCTTTGGGAAATAGAAGAAAGTCAGATTTACTAAAGGAAGGCACAACACGAAGGGAACACTTAAATATATCCATTCAGATCTTTGGGGACCAGCCCGAGTACCATCTAAAGGTGGCTATTATTACTCGTTAACAGTAATTGATGACTTCTATAGGAAAGTTTGGATATTCTTCTTGAAACAGAAGAGTGATGTATTTGACACCTTCAAGGAGTGGAAAACATTGGTGAGAAGTAGGCCGAAAAGCAAGTGAAATGTCTACGCATGATATGGTTTGGAGTTTTGTTCAGATGATTTCAATAGCTTTTGCAGGGCTGAAAGCATCTTAAGACACTTGACGGTGCCTAAAACTCCTCAACAGAATGGTGTGGCAGAACGAATGAATAGAACCTTGATCGAAAATGTTTGGTATATGCTTTCAAATTCTGGTTTGCCTAAGTCTTTTTGGGTTGAAACTGCTACTACAGCTTGTTTTCTGAGTAATCGCTCACCCTCAGTTTCCATTGATAAAAAGACACCAGAAGAGGTATGGTCTAGTAAACTTCTTCCTATTCTAATTTGATAATTTTTGGGTGTCCAACTTATGCTTATGTGAATAATGGGAAGTTGGAGCTTAGGTGTAGAAAGTGCATTT